GGGTCTCGTCTCCAGAATTTAACTTGTCTTTCTTCCAAAACGTCCCTCCTCTTCCGTGAAGGAAGGTGCTTGTGGACTGGCCTTAGGAAATGTCGCCCAGACAGGAACGGAACACCAGTGTGCCATCACTCAACCCAGAAGCGAGGTTTGCAGTGGCCTTCTCTCCACTTGAGAGTTCTGCTACACTACGAACACCACTATCATATTTATTTGTGGGAAATTGAACCACAAAGCCCTGAGCGGGGGATCCATAATTTACCATCTTCCTGTGAAATTTAGTTCTGGTCTTGGAAAAAAGAGGAGGAGGAATTCTTATTCCCAGCCTTGTGTGTGTGGTGAGGTTTGCCTGGAACAGTGGTTCTTGCAGAGGAATACTGGCCAGGTATTGACTTGAGTCAAAAAACTGGAAAAGATCCATGAAAACAACCCCCACCTTCAAGTGAGCCGCTTAGAGATAAGCACAGCGAAACACCGGGACACCCAGCTGATGGACGGTTTCTCTTGATTTTGGTGTGATGAAGCCCACAGAGCTGAAGGGCATTAAATACAGCTGTTGGGGCTAGGGGTCCATTCAGAGAATATTCTCATGCTTGTATCTAATAATCTAAGAATATATATGTAGATTCTACAATGTTTGGAATTAGGTTTTAAAAGAAAAATAATCATTTAAAAGCTAGCGAAGTAAATGTTTGTTGGGGGAGAAAAGTTTGATCCAAATATTAAATCAGTCTTAAAAAATTAAAATATGTTCTTGAGATGGAGCAGTCAGTCTTACCAAACAACATTACATCCTGGCTTGATTGCAGGCCATGGATAGTTTTTGTTTTGTTTTCTCTGCTGCTTAGAAATCAAAAACCCTTTAGAAAGTTAACAGTGTATTGGGGAAAGCATGCCAATCCTTGGACCCTAACTTATTCTACATTTAAAGACAATGAATCTGTGATCAGAAAGCAGAAAGCCAGAGCTGAAGCAGAAGGTTTTCTAGTTGGAAGAAAGAAAGATGCATAAAGCAAATGAGAGGAATGGACTATTAAAAATGGCCTGTAATCCCCATCTCCTCACGATCTTATATTCTCATTCTCCATAGTTCTATACAAACACATGCACAGACACCTGTATTTATCACAGATGCTCCTGGGGTGGGGACTATTAACCAGGCTATGTGTACAGGTGTTTCATCTCCACAAATCAGGATATCTTCTCTTCTTTTGAGGCAAGATCTCACTCTGTCACCCAAGATCTGACTCCACTCACTGGAGTGCAATAGCATAATCATGGCTCACTGCAGCCTCAGCCTCCTGGGCTCAAGCAAACCTCTTGCCTTAGCCTCCTGAGTAGCTGAGACCACAGGCGTGTGCTACCACACTTGGCTAATTTTTTAATTTTTTTGGTAGAGACGGCGTCTCCCTGTGTTGCCAGGGCTGGCCTCTAACTCCCAAGCTCAAGCAATCCTCCCATCTCAGCCTCTTAGAGTGCTGGGATTACAGTCATGAGCCATCATGCCCAGCTGGTACATTTTCAACGGTCAGGTCACCAAGCGGTGTCTGAGCCTGCACCAGTTGCCTTACTTTATAAATGGAGTTCATTTCAAACACAAAATGCTAATTTTTCCTCTGAAGAGCAGTAGTGGTTCTCGGCCAGCTGCAGTTTTGCAATGTGGGACATTTGGCAACATGTGCAGGCATTTTGGGTTGTCACCACTGCAAGGGGATAGGGGGAGTCCAAGGATGCTGCAGAACATCGTGCTGTGCCTGGAACAGGCTTGCTTTTTTTGTTTTTGTTTGTTTGTTTGTTTTTTGATTCTTTTTTCCCAGAGTAAAAGAGGAAAGGAGCTAGGCATGGCAAACAAGATGGGAAGCTGGGGTGTTTGCCAGGTCCTGCCAGACATATTTCCTCTCTGTGCCTCAGTTTGCTCATCTGTAACATGCAGAGATGAGATGAGATGCTCTCCAAGATCGGTCCTTTCCAGCTACCCTCAGTGGGAGGTGGCACCGTGCCCTGCTTCCCAGGCTGACTCATCCTTTGTAATTCTCTTTCTTTCCACGGGACTCCAGATTCATGCCAGTCCCACTAGCCCTGTTGCCCTGTTCCTAAGCCTGTCCCGAAATCCTCGGGACTAAGTGAGGCTGAAGCTATAGCGCTCTGCTCTTCCTACCTTTTTAAGAGGTTCTTACATTTTAAAACTTCAATTTTTCAAACATTCACTGGCTTACAGAAAAAGATAAAATAAAAAGCTGTAATTGTGAAAATGTAATTGCTCAACTTCAGCTCATGCTCCAGATCAGTGATTTTCTCTTTTAGCCAAACTTCTTTATAATTATTTCCTTTATTTTTATAATAGATTCTTCAAAATTAATTTCAAAAGTCCTTATCTACAGTCTTTCACAAATGTATGTATAGCCTAGAGAATTTTGGTAATACTTTTGTAATACATTTATATTGGGATTTGTAGCTGCCAGCCTTTTTTTTTTTTTTTTTTTTTGAGAAAGGGTCTCACTTCCATTGCCCAGGCTGGAGTGCAGTGGCATGATTGCGACTCACTGCAGCCTCGACTTTCCAGGCTCAGATGATCCTCCCACCTCAGTCTCCTGAGTAGCTGGGACTACAGGCGTGCACCACCACACTCAGCTAGTTTTTTTGGGTTTGTTCGTTTGTTTGTTTTGTTTTGTTTTGTTTTCGTAGAAACAGAGTTTTGCCATGTTGCCCAGGCAGATCTCAAACTCCTGGGCTCAGGCAGTCTGCCTGCCTTGGCCTCCCAAATTACTGAGATGATAGGTGCGCACCACTGTGCCCGGCCCAAGATGTTTTTTCAGTCCATTCTTTTTGCTCCTCCTAGTAATCCTTCGTAGCAACCAGCCTTCCATTGTTCAGTCACCAGAAGTTAATGATAGAAAACCAGAGATTTCCAGCTGTGCACGATGTAGTGAGAAACCTAAACTCTGTACATTTGCTAGTGGCACTGTGTTGCCGCAGTCACTGCAGCACTCAGCATCACCAGAAGCCTGCCCAGTACTGTAACATTCTTTAGATAGATTTTTGTTGTTGTTTTATTTTGTCTCCTTAAATAATATTTAACTTTTCCTTAGGTCATGCTATGATTTCATAGCTTATTTAGTCTCTAATATTTTCTTCTGCATGCTGTCTTTGGAGGGACTGCTCCAGAATTCAAGCACAAATCCTAGGACAGATGAGTATTTTGACTGTCAAATTTTCATTGCAGGATGTGCAGAAGTACAGAAATGGCACCAAATTAAGCAAAGAAGATAAGAATTTTTGAATGACAAAGTTCTGGCAACTATAAAATAAAGTCTATTAAGAGTGCAAAGTGAGAGGTGGAATGACGCCAGGGCAGCTGCGTTCATTATCTCTTACTGGATAACAGACAACCACACGTTTAGCAGCTTGAAAACAACGCACATTCATTCTCTCACCATGGCTGCGGGTCAGGGGTGCAGGCACAGCACAGCTGGGGCCGTTGCTCAGTGTCCCACAAGGTTTGGTCCAGGTGTCAGCCAGGCTGCACTCCCCTTTAAGCTCGGGGCTTTTCTTCCAAGCACAGGTTGTTGGTAGAATTCAGTTCCTGTGGCTGCAGGACTGAGACCCTCAGCTCCCTGCAGGCTGCCTGCCATTGCCTGGACAGATCACGCAATGTGGTGTTAATAATCACGAGAGAGAAGTATGGTCAACCTCGCCATATAATGTAACCTAACCTAGGGAGTGGTGCCCCATCTCCTTGACATATTCTGGAAGCAAGTGACAGATCTTGCCCATCCTCAAGGGTCGGGAGTATCCCAGGGCAGGACTTTGTGGGGGTAAGGTATGTCCCTGGCGGTAACCACTACTTTGAATCCTCCTATTAAATGTAAAATATCTTCCAACTTGAACATATACTTTGCACTTTTTTCCTCTGAGCAAACAAAAACTTAATCCTCATTCAACAATGAAAGTTTTGCTGCCTGTAAAGATACTTGAAAATGTGTGATACAGACACCGAAGGCAGTTCCCAAACAGCCTAAAGATGTTTAGTGCCGGCTGGGCGTGGCGGCTGATGCCTGTAATCCCACCGCTTTGGAAGTCTGAGGCAGGTGGATCCCTTGAGTTCAGAAGCTCAACACCAGCCTGGGTAACAGCAAAACCTTGTCTCTACAAAAAGAACCAAAAAATTAGCTGGGCGTGGTGATGCCCACCTTTGGTCACAGTTGCTTAGGAGGCTGAAGTGAGAGGATTGCTTGAGCCCAGGAGGTGGAGGTTGCAGTAAGCCCAGATCATGCCACTGCTCCCCAGCCTGGGCAACACAGCAAGACCCTGTCTCCAAAAAAAAAAAAAAAGAAAAAGAAAAAAAAAAAAGAGACCAGGCGTGGTGGCTCACGCCCGTAATCCCAACACTTTGGGTGGCCAAGGCAGGCGGATCACGAGGTCAGGAGATCGACACCATGCTGGCCAACATGGTGAAACCCCGTCTCTACAAAAAATACAAACATTAGCCGGGTGCAGTGGCGGGCGCCTGTAGTCCCAGCTACTCGGGAGGCTGAGGCAGGAGAATCCCTTGAACCCAAGAGGCGGAGGTTGCAGTGAGCTGAGATCGTGCCACTGCACTCCAGCCTGGCAACAGAGCGAGACTCTGTCTCAAAAGAAAAAAGATGTTTAGTGTTGGTGACATCATTGACATTAGTTGTGGCCTTTCTGGGGCTGCCCAGCTGTTTGGAGTGAACAGCTCTTACTGATTTATGAATTCTGGTTTGTTCATGGACAACAGAGTTCTTTCCTTGCTTGTTCCCTTTGGGCTGGTTTGCTCTTGTGTCTAACCAGGTGGTATCTAAGAAAACCAGACTGTCTTGGCTGTCTCACACAGAAGCCCCTGAACTGCCCATCCTCCCTCCCCAGACTTCTGCCTGCCTTCTGGGCACCAGAAGTCTTAGCCAGACGGATACAGCGGGTTCTGTGGTGAAACACAAATGACAGAGGTGCTCCCTGCCTTCTGTGTTCTGGTTTTCCACCAGGAGCCCTGGCCTCCTTGCAGAAACATCGAGGTGACATGTAGCATGACCGAGCTCGCTGGCGCCTCTTCATCGTGCTGCCACCGCCCTGCAGGAACAGGGGCCATGCAGTCAGTCTTGCACCACTTTCAACGTTTACGAGGGAGAGGTACTGCGGTTCCTCATGTGGCCAGGACCGTGTGGTCACTCTTTGGGGGTGTTGACGTGGCCGCGGGTGTACTTGGTCACCTCTCCATGTGTCCAGAAAAGCGCTCAGTGTTGAATCCAGCCACGTCTGCCTGAGTGCACTTTGGGATTCCATTCCTGCCGCTTACGGGGCGCGCTGCAGATCCCTGCATGCACAGAGCTTTACTGAGCACGAAGTCAGCTGTTCGTTGCCGTGCTCTGTTGCCCCTGCTTCTGGCTGCGTTCATGTGGTTTTTGCTCAGTTCTTCCTTGGCCTTAGGAAATAGGCCAACTCTTGTTTTTTTGGAAAACATTTCACCTGGGCATGTTTTTATATCTATAATTATGGAATTTTTATGTAATCACATAATTACAAAATATAACACAATCAGATGTTAATTACCTTCATGTGTATAATAGCATGGATATTATTTTCTTTAATCATCTCAAAAAAAAAGAGAAAAATACAAGCAGGGTTTCAAAACTCTCTTCTCTTTTTGAACAGAGGGTGGCTCCCACTTCATCAGCACCTCATCGCCGCGAGGTGAGGCTAAGATGAGCATAACCAGTGATGAGGTGAACTTCCTGGTGTATCGGTATCTCCAGGAGTCAGGTAAGAGGCTTGGCTTTCTGTTGGGAGGAAATTTATCTTCAGCATCTTCCAAGCAGAAGGATCAACGCTTAATTCAAAACCAGGCTGTAGAAGAAGAAGAAGAGCTAAGAAGGTTCTTAGTGCTGATGGGGAGAAGAGAAGGTTCTGGAGCCGGTTCTTAGTGCTGATGGGGAGAAGAGAAGGTTCTGGAGCCGTGCCATCCCCGGGTGGAAAGAGGCAATGTGTTCTTTCTTCCCTTGACACTTCTGTGGAGATGAATCAGGCGGGAATCAAGAGCGGTTGTGGTGAACGTGGAAAGGACGGAAGCAGTGCGGGGCTCCTGGCCTCCACCTCGGCAAGGGCATGCCTGAGCTGGGGTGTGTGTTTGAATCTCTTCAATTTTGCTCCAGAGATTTATTCAGCTCTCCAGCCTCTCCTGCTCCCCACCCCCAAATGGGCTGCTAGGCCGTTTTCTAAAACTTAGGAATCGTCCTAGCATCTTCCAACATTTTTGATTACCACTGAGACATTACTTTATGGTTAGTAAGTAAACAGCCAATCACATGTATTCCTTGTTGACAGAACAGACCTTGAGCTGGGCAGTTGCCCTCCTCCGCCAGCAGAGAAGTCCGCCAGGAGGAAGCCACAGAGCCCAGGGCTTGGGTTCTGGCCTGGCTTTTAGCCTGGGTTCGTGGGATCCCTCCAATAAGTCGTTTAGTTTCTAGAGTGAAAGCTTATTTTTTACATTTTAAAACTTAGAAGATATGTAATTTAAGACTCACAAAACAACATTGGTGCAAAACGTCCTGATACCCACCTACCCATTCAACTTAAGAAACAAACCTCTCAGGTGCATTGGAACCCCTGCCCGTGTTTGCCTCCCCGCTTCCTCGATGATAATGACCCTGGTGGGCTTGCTGGTTGTTACCTCCACGTGTTTGCTACACATGGCCGTTTTCCTAAGCAACATACGGTGCAGGTGAATTCGTTTCCTAGGGCTGCTATAACAACGTACCCGCAAACTGGGGTGGCTTAAAAAGAAATATGTTGTCTCCTAGTTCCTAAGGACAGAAGTCCAAGATGAAGGTGTAGGCAGGTCGGTTCCTTCTAAGGGGAAGTCGCTCCTGTGCCCCTGCGTGGCTCCTGGGGCCTTGCTGCAGTCTTTGGATTCCTTGGCTTGTAGGCACATCACCCTCGTCTCTGTGTTCAGATTTGTCCACATTTCCCTGTGGTAAAGACAGATTGCATTCAGAATTTACCCTCCTCCGAGACAACCTCATTTTAGCTATTGTTTTTGAATACAGCAATAATTACATCTGCAGTGACCCTGTTTCTCAATAATGTCACATTCTGAGGTGCACTGTTGGTGAGCACTTCAACCTGTGAATTTGTGGAGGAGGGGGCACACTTCAGCTCGTAACAGTTGGTTTGGGATCTTTTTAAGCTTCGTGTCCTTGATACGAGATTGTATATATTCTGGAACTTGATTATTTGAAAAGGAAACCCCAGTTCCTAGGCCTCCTCCTTCCAGAGATGCATGCGTTCAATTTGAGGGAAAACCAGTCTACGATCCTCTAGGTGTGGGTTCTCTCACAGCTGGCCTGGTAGGGTAGGATGTAGGCATTGGAGCCACACAGAATGGCTTGAGCTCTGATCCTCAAACAAGTCTGAGTGAGGCCTGTTCATTAGAGCCTGGGTTTCCTTGACCAGGCAAATGTGGTCAAGTATGTCGGGCATGTAGCGCATTGTAAGTGCATGCATTCCCCATCCAAGCGTGGGTCTCTGTCCCGTGCACTCCCAGCTAGTGTTACTCATGGAAAGTACGCGTTCTTTCTGCATATATATCGGATGCCTGCGATTGGCTGTTGCCAGAACATAGTATAAGAAATTGGTATACAAAACAAAATATGTACTGCCTCACCCCTGGAAATGAGGGAAGTGATAACCGCTCTGCTTAATACATCAACCTCAGTTCTTAGAGCAGCACAGGTGGTCTCCCGCCTCAGAGCTCAGAGCTTTCCAGAGGTGCCTGCAAATGGAAATCACATGTACCAAACCCTGCTTCCCCGTCGACTTGTGGCATGGAATTTGAGATTCTTTCCATTAGCAACACCTCTGCACAAGGACACGGTGAAGGCCGAAGAGACTCACAGCTCTTGTGTAAACAAGTCCCAGGCTGGAACTGTCGGGTGCGAAGGACCACGTGCTCCGTAACCTGGAGACAGCCGTGCTGCTGGCTGGTCCCCAGGGCCACGGAGCGTGAGCTTTGCTGGCTTCTTGAAATAAACACAGAAACCCCCATCCCTCCCCAGAAAGGTCGGCTTCCTTATTCAGTATTTGTTTATGAAGCTTCTGTAACTAGGCAGCTGAGAGGGAGAATCAGAGCACAACAATGCATAGACCTTGGCAAATGTCAACTTTGTGTAACATCTGTGAGCTCCATTCCTGATTTATCAGTGTCACTAAAGTATAATAACACTTCTTAGGCAGAGTTGATATTGAAGAGAGAGACATTGCACTTTCTTAAGCTCACTGTGTGCATTGTGGAACTTTTTAGAGCACCCTACAAGGTTATATTCAAAGGAAGAAGGGAGCAAAGAAATACGTAATGTTGAAGTGTTCATTCTGGGGTTTTCTGTTTGTCTCAAGTCCTAAAGTTTTGGTTAGGTCAATAGTCATTGAGCCCCCATCAAGAAAGCGTACCTTCTCAGCCTATCGCTCTCTCCCTTCTACCTGAAATAAAAAAGAAAGCATTTCCCTGATCATGCTTCCTCAAGCACCTGTACTCTAATTCCTGCACCTCACCAAACTCATCAAAAACAAGTTCTGCATCTCAGAAGATGATTCATTCCTCAACTCCCTCCAGTCTGGCTTTCTCCACTAGAAGTTGTCAGTAAATTCTGGGTTCCCAGATCCAGTGATCTTACTGCAACTGGCTTTCCTCCTTCCCTGGTCATCCCTCCTTACCTGTGTGTGACAGGAAGCGGGTGGGGGTGGGGGTGGGCAGTGAGGAAGGGAGTAGGTGTTTCCCTGCAGTGCAGCAGGACAGCTGCTTCGTGGAAGGTCTGCTCAGAACACTCAACCCCACCTTCCAGGTGCAGTGATGGACAAGTTTTTCAGAGTCACCAAGCATGTAGCCTGAGCCCTGCTTCTCTACCCTGGACCCAGCAGACCAGATGCCGTTCATCTCCTTCACCAGTGTCTCTCTTCCTCCCCTCTGCCAGTATCCATGGTGTCAGTTAGGATGCGTTAGGCTGCAAGGAAGGGAATCCTCAGTGGAGCACTGATGACCTCAGGTAGCAGGGAAGCAGGGTGTTGAAGAAGAATCCAAGACACATCTCTTCAAACTCGGCAAAGAACCTCAAAAACAGACGTGTTTTGTTCCTCTGCCCACAACAGGCAGAAGTCAGGTCATCTGGCTTTTAGCAAACCACATATATTTCCCTACCTGTGTGGATTAGTGGATTTTCATTGTTGCCCTTGTTACTTGTCCAAAGCAAGGGCTTTGCCCATCAGAAGCACTCAATGGATGTTACCCACAGGTGACATCTCATAGCAGCAGACTCATGGCAGTCTGAAAGAGGAAACTAGTTAAAGCAAGAACGTTAAGTAGTAGGGAACTTCTGCATTACCAAACTCTAGTGCCAAAATGGATTTGTTGGGTTTTGCATGAGTTCAGCAGTCTGGCTTTGACAGGTGATATGGTTTGACTATGTCCCCACCCAAATCTCATCTTGAATTGTACCTCCCATAATTCCCACATGTCATGGGGAGGGACCCAGTGGGATGTAAATGAATCATGGGAGCAGGTTTTCCCGTGCTGTTCTCGTGGTAAGTGAATAAGTCTCACGAGACCTGATGGTTTTATAAAGGGGAGTTCCCTTGCACACCTTCTCTTTCCTGCAGCCATGTAAGATGTGACTTTGCACCTCATTCACCTTCTGCCATGATTGTGAGGCCTTCCCAACCATGTGGAACTGTGAGTCCATTAAACCTCTTTCCTTTATAAATTACCCAGTCTCAGGTATGTCTGTGTTAGCAGCATGAGAACGGACTAATACAATGCGTGAGTCCATTGGCCTCTGTCTTACGGGATCCGTTGCCCGGTCACTTGTGCTATCTGGGCAGTTTTTAAGAATCACGTGGTGACCATGTGCCTTTCCCATGAGCTCATGTTACCATCCCAGGAGAAGAGAAGCAAGGGAGCAAGCCCCTATAAATGTGCACAGCCTGCACCTGCTGTAGTGAGCAGCTCCCCCAAATGTTTGGGGAATCGTGAGTTGTTTGCCCCCGCATATTTCTGAATACAGCAAGGGAAGTGGAAGTCCATTTTCCACTTAGTATGGAAAGAGAGAAAATTTGGCAAGTGAGTCCCTGTAAACATATTATTTCCTCTGGGACTTCATCCCAAAATCCAAACTATAAAGAAAACATGTTCTCCCAGACCCACATTTTTAGCATAAATTAAATAATTCACAGGAACTTGCAAAACGGTATGAGGAATACAGGGGAACAGAACCACAGATTCAAACTGAATTTAACTGAGAAAGAGCTACCTGCAAGATAATCGGGTGATAGATTCGGGGGAAAGGAAGGTACTATGAAAAATTTTGTGTTTTGAGACTCACTCACACCGAGGGTCTCACTCTGTTGCCCCAGGCTGGAGTACAGTGGCACGATCACGGCTCACTTGAGGCTCTACCTCCCAAGCTCAGGTGATCCTCCCACCTCAGCCGCCCGAGCAGCTGGGACTACAGGCTTGTGCCACAAGAAATTATGCCCAGCTAGTTTCTTATTTTCTCTTGTATTTTATTTGTAGAGACAGGGTCTCACTGTGTTGCCCAATCTGATCTCAAATTCCTGGGTTCAATAGATCCTCCCACCCTGGCCTCATAAAGTGCTGGGATTACAGGCATGAGCCACCACATCACTTGGCCAAAAACATTTTTTAAAGGAGAAGATACTGTCTGAAGAGGAAAGAAGGAAGGAATGTATAGAGCTGGCTTGAGCATAATGAACAC